TATTTTTTGAATAAAACAATAAATTATTAATAATATAGAGAATATTTTATTTATAAAATATTTTATTTAAAAGCAAAAATTTTTTTGTTTTTAAAAACATATAAAATCTTAAAAAATATTAAAAAATTTTAATAATAAAAATTTTTAAATAAAAGCTTTAAAGATTTATTACTTATGAGTTTTTAATAATTTTAAAAAAATTATTAATTAGTAATTTGCTACTCAACCAGAAAGAGCTCATAGTATAACATGATGTAGTTTACATATAGAAATTAGGATTTTTGAAATATTAGCTGCTTTTATCTAAAACTTTTTTTTGTAAAATTTAATAAAGTTGAATCATTAATATCAGCTTAGTAGATCATGTGATATCTTCAAAAAATATTTTATTGACTATATAAACTTCTTTTTTAACAATACTATTACATAGTAAATAAAATGTTTTTTGAAGATATTTTATAATCTACTAAGCCAATTTTGATAATTCAACTACTATTAGATTTATCTTAATGAGCTCTACAACTTTAATTTGAGACCCAAAAATAATTAACTTAATATGAAAAAAGTTTTAGATAGAAGCAGCTCATATTTTAAAATCCTAATTTCTATATATAAACTGTGTTATATTATGCTATGAGCTCTCTTTAATTGTATAGCAAATCACCAATTAATAAAATTTATAGAATACATTTTAAATAAAATATTTTATAAATAAAATATTCTCTATATTATTAATAATTTATTGTTTTATTCAAAAAATACTAAATATTTTATAAAATTTTAGACAAATTTGTCTAAAAAACAATTTAAAAGATATAATATTTATATAATAAAAATATTTTGTAATAAAAAATACGGCAATTATTTGCGTACATCCATTTTGTGTAACATTGCATACATCAGATTGTATCAACCAATCAAATTGCAGATATTAAATTCATTATTTGATAGCGATTAGAGATTCTATTTCGTGCAAATTACTAAATTAATACAATATAGAGGTTGGACCTACTAATATATGACTGCCAGAAATATATAACAAAATACCTAGATAACTCAGGTAATTTAATATTATAAGCGACTATAAGATTTTAATACATTAAATACAGTTCAATATGCAAAAGATCGTCCCTCATTTCCCGGTAATAAAAGAATAAATTTATTAAATTAAGCATGCATGCTAGAATGCAAATGCCAAACCGTTACATACATAGTATTCAGGATTGATTCTCAATCCAAAGTCGAATTATCTGGATAAATTCTGAAATCAATTATAAAGACCTCTTGATTACTCTACAATTAACTCATTTTTGTGCCTTTTGGCTAGTTGATTTTCAATTCCAGAATCGTTTATCAGCTTGAATTTGACTTTGGCCAAGAATCGATTCTAAACATTATAAACAACATGAACATATATATATAGTTGACTAATTCTACATTGGACTTGATTTTTATTAATAAAATGATTTCAAATTCAACTAACGAATGTACTTCATGCTTAAAGCGAACTTTCAATAAAATCTTAAATATGGAATTCGGTTTAAAAAGAGGCAACTATATACATGTGTAGAATTCAGTGCAATAATTGAAGCATTTGCTCATTTCTTGCGATGTCCTTACTTTTAGCAATTTAAAGATCTATTATTAGTAATGTAAATACTTAATGATAAATATTGAACGTGTTATCTGATTCCACTTACCTAATTATAATTACATTTTCATCTTTGCACTTCCTTATTTTTAAAACTTTTTTAGCTGTATGCGCAAACCGTTTCATAAAATCAATTATTTTCTTTTATAATACTTACCATCATTATTCTTTGGATTAAATAACTAAATCATAAATATTAGTGTGCTCAAATCAAATTAATTATGCAAGTGCAGCATCTCTAAAATTAAATACATAATGACGAATAAAAGTGAACAAGCATAAAATAACACATAAGCCTATGCAAATAATGAAGACCAATCTTCAAGAAAGCCCAAACGTCAACAAATTGGTATGTACTGTAGATTTAAAGGTAGATTCTGTATGTCCTTATTTTGTTTGAGCTTAATCAACACAATATGGTTCTTTTTGTACTAGTGTAAAATGATAGGTTTCCTATGACGACCAGGTTTTTGACCAAATAGCAAAAAAAGAGGCTTGCTGCAGAATCTTCAGCAAATATTACTATCGGTATATTATAAGTATCTGATACAAATTGTGCGCATTCTGGCGTATAAAACCAGTGCTCCCATGTACATCCTGGTGTAACATGTGACAAGACAACCATTAATCGATTAGCGTTGTTATGACTAGGGAGAGCTTTTATATATCCAAACCAATTTAGTCCAGCGCCATAAGCATAAATCCTGATGGTAAGTAGCACAATCCAGATTCGTACGTGGTAATAATTATCGATTGGGGTAAGTATTGCCGCTTCAATAGGACTATATTCGAAAGAGATCGTCACGGGTTGTGCTTAGGTCATTTAGGGTCCAAGTCAGGTCACCACAGATTACGTATAGGTCCAAGTTAGGTCATTGCAGGTTATGTATAGGTCCAAGTTAGGTTACTTCAAGTTACATATAGGTCCAGGTTAGGTTACTGTATAGGTCCAAGTTAGGTTACTTCAGGTTACATATAGGTCCAAGTTAGGTTACTTCATGCCACTTAGTAAGCAAGGTCAGAGCTTATTAGATATTTATTAGCGGGTTAAAATAAAATGAGTTTAGGTCACGTATTCACTATACTTATTACTTGAGCAGAGTAAGAAAGAGTTACTTTATTTATTAAGCAAGCGTCCTATTTATACATTTTGATGGTTAAGGGTTTTAAACCCAGATCTGTGGTTTCGAGCCCAGATCTGGGGTTTCGGACCCAGATCTGGGGTTCTATACCCGGACCCAGGGTTTCAAACCCTAACCTCAGGTTTCGAACCCATACATGTGCTAATACTATCGCGTCTATGTAATTTACTGCTTTGACATAATAGAATAAGGAACTATATATCGATAATTTGCAAGACAAGGAAAATTTCGAAGAAATTTTCCATAACAACGTCGTATCCAAGTATATTACTATAAAAATCAGTTCGCTCAGTAAGCATCGTCTTCATTGCAATTTTAATATCTTGCCACTTGTCTTTCTCTCTAAATATGGCTACAGCTAACGACCGAAAACCACAGTGGCCATCACCAATTGGATTATAGATTTGTAGTATTGCATTTTGAGGAATGCGAGAATCAAGATTTATATCAGCTGGAACTGCTATGTCATTTTTTGGTAATTTTTGTTTTGCTTTAGCTTCTTTTGGAGGTTTATTTTCTTTATCAGCACCCCGAATACGCTTGTTATTAGGAGGTCGACTATGCGAGCATTTAATCTCAGGCATCTTAATCTCATTATAATTTGAAATTTTATCAATACTGATAGTTTCAAAAAAGCTTTGCTGAGCACTATTTGAATTTTCCAAAAGGTGTAGAACTTTTTCATTTTCAAAAACCTGATCTAAAGCATTTTCCATAAGATCTATAAAATCATTATGATAACATTCTGGCAATTGCTCAAAAATCTGCACGACAAGTGGAGAAATAGAGCTTGAATTATGGTTTTTTTCAATATTATGTTGCACATGTTGTACGTGCCAACGCTGGTGGATCTCACTTGATGGCATGTGTGTATGAAAACAAGATAAATACACTACAATAATATGTTGGCATGGTGTTCTAATACGTTGTGGATGTAAACATGTGCAGGTACTTGGTATTCAAATGTGCACTTCACGTATTGGTCTTTCTTGATCATCAATTCGAATCACATTATATACGTTATTACCACATTCAACAACTTTGTATGAACCAGATTTTGCAAGATCCCCCTGTTGCCTTATATATGACTCAAATGCAAAACGCGAACACACTAAACGTAACTCTTTTAAGCCTGCATCCTTATTATTTTTTATATGCCTATTCTGATGTAGGTAAGTTTCATGTGTGAGCTTTTGAGAGTGCTCTTGCAACTGTTTCCAAATAATTGCGAGTAACTTGTTGATTGGCGTAACATGGTTTTCAACGCCCTTAAGTTTACTATGTAGGCTTTCAATACGTTGACTAGATTTTATGTCAAGGTTTATATTACTTTTCGTATATATTATAAGCCAGCTTTTCCTATATGGTATCCAAGTCTCGCACATGTATTTTTTTGTGCTTGGAAATTGCAACCACAATGATAAAATTGCCTGGTCTAATTGATCTTCAGAAAGATTTTCATCGTATATAAGCTTCTGAATAGCTTGAACAAATTCCTCAGTGTCAACATCCTTTTTAAGTTTATTTTTAATATTTTTAAGAATATGCCAAGTGCACAATTGATGCTTTGTACTAGGAAATACAGTTGAAATTGCCACCATAAGGGCAAACTCCCTATTGGTAATAATTGTCGCCACGTATGAATTGCCAGTTAAAATAATTAGTGCTTTACTTAATTGCTCTATTGTCCAATGATAATAATTTTGAGTTTCTGAATGCACTAATATAAAAGCCAATAGATAAGTTGTTCCAAATCGATCAATGCTACAAATTACGATTAATGGCATGGAGAACCGATTTGTCTTATATGTAGCATCAATAATCAAGACATCCTTTGATAATGCAAATTTAGCAGCTGTACTGCAATAAATCCAGAAAATAGCTTGGATAAAAGCACCGTCTTGATCACGCTCGTCATTGTACAAAGGTTTGATTGCGATATTTGCCATAATATTTTCGTCATTATGTAATGTTTTGAGAAGCATCTCAATTTCATTTAAGCCTTGCAATTTTTGTAGTCGTTGACGGCTTACAGCATTATAAATATCATGCTTATGTATATACTTGGAACTGATAGAACTTAATATTGAAAAAATATCTTTTGTTCTAAGTCCGTCATCATAAAACTTTTTAATTTAACCCAAATCATTCTGATCAAGTCTACGTATAACATTGCTAAATTTTCTAGCATCTGGGCAAAGAACGTGATTATACCCCAAATGTAGTCTAGTTATAGAAATTCTTTGGTGCGTTTACGATAATTCACTCTGATAATAAAAGGACATCCAATTCTCTTAGTGACATACTCATCTTTTTTTTTATTATATTGCCCTTGTTTCTTACAAACAAAAGACACTTGTCTGTAACCACTACCGTCAGTATTTCTGGTTGTTTTTCCTAGTATTATGACTGTATTATTTTGTATCGCATAATTTTCAACAACTGACTGCACTTCAGCGAAAGTAGAAAAAACATCCCCTTTCTTAAGTATTAAAGTATTATTGGTATCCATATCAAGTAAAAAATCAGCGACAATATATTGTCAAAAAAAAGTATAAAGTAGACCAATGTGAAACGTGAGTTAAATTGGATTAGCAAAAAAAAAGTGCTAATGAAAACTATCTATATCAATGAAAAAATATGCTAATGAATATTAGTTTAATGAATGAAAACACCAATAAAAATTAGTATAAGCAAAGAGATTAAAGATAAAGCTGTCAAAAAATAGAAGATAAAATTAGGAAAAAAATAGAAAAAAAGATAAGAAAAGATGAAGTTAAAAAAGGATAAGATAAAATTAATGGAGGTATATGTAAAAAAAAGGTATAGTAAGCAAAAATATGGGCAACGCTTGAGGATGATTAATTGCAAAAAGTTAATAATTAACGTGATAAACATGATGATAATATTATGCAATTTGATTGGTTGATAAAATCTGATGTATGCAACATTACACAAAACAGATGTACGCAAATAATTGGCGTAAAAAATATTTTTATTATATAAATATTATATAATTATAATATTTTAAATATATTTTAAAGAGGGTTCTGGTTCTATAGCTTATTGGTTAAGCTCTCAAACTCTACTAATAAAATTGATAGTTCAAGTTAGGCTAAAGGTAAATATTAATTTATTTTTG